GGATTTTTCACATTCGTGGACTGACTATAATTCAAGCCTTTACTAAATTTTCTAAGGAAACTGCTACTTACATTTTAAGTAGCAAACTCAAAAATTGTGTTGTTATAGAATACCTGTGGGACATTACATTAGCTTTGATATAACCATGTACAGATACCCTAGCAAGTAAATATAAACACAAATTTTATCATAGAATCATTTAGGTTGGAAAAGACCTTTAAGATTATCAAGTCCAACCATTAACCTAGCACTGCCAAGTCCACCACTAAACCATGTCCCTAAGCACCACATCTACACATCTTTTAAATACCTCCAGGGATGGGGACTCAACCACTTCCCTGGGCACCCTGTTCCAATGCCTGACTGCCCTTTCGGTGAAGAAATTTTTCCTAATATCCAGTCTAAACCTCCCCTGGCGCAACTTGAGTCCATTTCCTCTTGTCTTATTGCTTGCTACCTGGGAGAAGAGACTGACCCCCACCTTGCTACAACCTCCTTTCAGGTAGTTGTAGAGACCAATAAGGTCTCCCCTGAGCCTCCTTTTCTCCAGGCTAAACAATCCCAGCTCCCTCAGCTGCTCAAGTTCTTTTAAGAAATGCAACCTAGAGTGCTTTATAGGTTTAAATAAAACATTTAAAAAAAAAAAAAATCAACTTGCAAAGGAGGGATCAAAATGAAAGCCAAGCAAAAAAGAAAGCAATTAAGATTTCAGTATAAAATTTAAGATACTAGAAAAATTAGAGGCAATGGAGACTGACCAAAGCTGACAAGATCACTCTGAAGACTAATGCATACTTCTCATTGGTGAGGGACAGGGAGAAAACAGTGTACAATTAGTTGACCTCCCTCTGGCTGACCCAGGAGCAGGCAAACAAGAAAAGATGTGTGGTATAACTGGCACAGTGCTGGATGAGAAGTGGAAGTGAGAAATGAGCACAAATTCAGGATGTCAGATAAACAAACCAAACTAATTTCTTTTTTAGAGCGGGTCTCCTGTGGTTGTGTGCCTTTGAGAAAACCAAAGGCAAATGGAAAGCACTGTTTTGAGCCTGGGTAGATAGAACTTGGGTAGTGATGACAAAGACAAGGCTGGGGATTTGATCAATAGCAAAATGAAGAGAAAGGTCATTTTCTGAATCCATTTAGGAAAACCTTAAAAATACAGATTCTCTCAGAGAGAAGAAAAAAAAATCCATCATATTTAAGACTATTCTTACCTGTTTTCTGAGGTGAAAGGTCTTTTGCTGATGGAAGTTTCGAATTAAGTCTGCTTGATGCCAACACTGGAATAGAGAACTTCTCAGGAACCTCAAAGAATTCTTGCATGCTTACTTCTACACTGTAATCTATATACTTCAGCTCTGGGGGGAATTTACGAGGTTTCAGGAGTGCCTGTCTCTACAAGTGAAGGAATAATGTATACATATGAACAATCATCTCATAATAATTTCAGGTTAAGAAATGCAAAATTATACAGACTTAAGAGTGTAATTCTAAAACTGAATTGGCAATTAGGCAAGTTATATAGAAATCGTTGAGACAACCTTCTAAATAAAAACTCTGCCTTGTATAATTTTTTTAGACATCATGCATCCAAAACATTCGTTTAAGAAAAATGCATTTTGAGGTTTACAGTAAAACCACCTCCTACTTAGAAACCACTCTGCAAGCCTTTATAGGTATTCACAGAAGGCAAGAAAAGGGGAGAAAAAACATTAAAAGAAAAATGCATTTTCTATCAGATGTAGACAGATGTTTCTTCTTTTACTTTGTAAAGTTTCTGAGTGATAAAAAGTATGAAAAGGAAAAATTATTTTGATATTTTGCAAGGGATAACTATACAGTAAGCTGAGCTAACTTTGATACTTTAATATTGACAATATATTTTAGAAATCAAAACATTTAGAATTAATTTGAGGGACAAATAAGCTCCTCCTTTTCGTAAAGAGCATTGCTAATCAACAGCATGAAACGTATTAGTAAAGGATTAGCACAGTATCTAAAGGCAAGCTCAAAATAGGCATCTAAACCTCTTAATGAACTAAATTAGACTCCTGTAAGATAGAATTACAGAAATAATGCAATGATTTAATACACCACTTGCTCAAAATTGCCATTTTCAATCCAATAACACAGTATAATTGCAATACTCAAGATTAATTGTAAGTTGAAAATTTAAAATCTGAAACTAATTGCATCTTTTTCATAGACATGTCTTTGAATTCATGACTATTGTGAATTATCTTGAGCAAATCTAGTGAGGAGATAAATACAGAAATATTCAGTTGTGGTAGGAAATCTGGTTTATTCTCAAAGCCTATTGGTTTTAAGTGATGCCAGGACAGCAGGTATCACAGTACATATTGCAAAGGGACGAGGAATGGTTATCCGTTGTGGAAATTCAAAAAGACAATTTAAAAGGAAAGCTGATTGTTGTTAAGGATTACTATTGAGGGTAATATAGTCAAATTACCATTCAGATCAATTGGGTTGGGGTTCTGCTTTGGCTTGGTGGCTTGTCTTTTTTTTTCTTTTTTTTCCTGTTTTAATATAACACTCACATGCCCTTGCCAGTTTTAGAAAGCAGACCTACGTTCTGACATTGCTTTGATTTGACCATTAATCTACCCATCCCAAGTGTCAACATGGTGTTAAACACGAAGTATATATGGAATTTGGGAACCTGTTAAGCTTTACTTGCTAATACAGTTTTTGACACAGTAAATATAGAAACAGATCACTATTCAAGATTTTTGTTCTATGAAGCACAACTGGACAGATCTATCTGACTAAAAAAATACTTATCAAAACAAAACATTAACATAGTTCTTTTTTTACTGTATTTGCACCACTTGTATGGTGCAAATATAATTTGCAGAAGGGACAACTCATTATGCGAGTTGAAAACCTGAACTCACTATTAAATTCTACCATGCAAGACGAAGTTCACTGATAGTACACTCTCTAAATAAATAAATAAATAAATAAATAAGGTGCTAATAATTCAGTTGCTATATTAATAACAAGTTCAATTTCTCTCTGATAGGACTGAAGTGACAGAAGACTTTGCAGTGGGAAGAAGATATTTCATTCTCACTTGTAATGGGAAGTTCCAAATCAAAAAATTTACATATATTTACCAATTTAAATTTAACTTTGACTTTCTGCATATTCAAATATAAATTTATACCTACACCTGATTTTGGTAATTAGATTATTTTCCAACGCTGAAATAAAAATCCAACATGATTAAAAAGTTTTGGGAAGTCTTAATTGACAAAATGATTGTAAGATGACCTTTGGTGGAGCACTGAACACATTTAAAGTATAATTATCTTGAAGAGATATCTTACTATTTAAAAAAAAAAATCACTGAAGTACTTTAATTTAAGATCCTTTTTCATGCTATCTCATTTTTAAAGATATGTTAGGAAAAAAGACAGCTGGTTAGTATTATGTAGTCTATGAACATTTCAAATATTTCCTGGTACCTTATCAAAGAGTAAAGGATGAAAAAAATTTTAATGAGAGACCTAGATGTTTTTGAAAGGGGAAAAGAAAATCCTGCAAACACACACAAGACTAAACCTTGTTGCCTCAAAGGGTAACATTTTCAAGAAAAGAGGAAATGTTCAACACGATTCAGATAAGTGTTGCAGCTGCTCTCCTTCTTTTTAGTATTTTTCAGGGCAGTGAGAGTTAAATGGAATTTAATATTTTTTAAGTCTCATTATCAACTGCAGGTCTAAGGCTGCTGTGCCTTTAGACACAGATTCCAACATGTACTTCATCAGCGTAATGGTTCATGATATTCCAAGTGTGGAAGTGTTATTACCAGTTAAGAACAGTATTTGCATTCAGTTCCCAGGATTAATTTCTTTTTTAGAATAATTTTTCGAAAAAGTATTGGAGGGTATATAAAGCATCAGATTTAAACTTGATATTTTTCCAAGACTGATTGATTTTCCAAGGTATTTTCTTAGATTTACCATCTGCACTATCTATGTATAAAGGATGGCAGATTCAGTTACAGAGTGCTGAGACACCTTACTCTTTCCTTGCATATTACTGTTTTCCAAAACCTAATTTAGCCCCATTTCTTCCTTCCAGGAATTAACTTTTAAAAACATTACTCATTAATAAAAGAATTTTATGATCTCAATCTCTCAGAATCCCTGTGATCAATCATGTTTGCCATCTCCCTTAATCCCATATCAAAAGATAAGTGACGTAATATAAAAGACATTGGTCCCAGTTCTAACTTTGACAAATTCATAGATCCTTTTATGAAAAGTTCATTTCCATTCAAACACATCTAATGTAACTTTTTAATTACAGTATCTTCTCTCTTCAAGGACAACATGATTCTTTCTCAAAAAAAACCCAACAAACCAACCAAACAAACAAAAAAACCATCACAAACCACCTATATTTAAAAAACCAAACTGTTCAAACTGAGCTTACAACTTTTCCATCATCACATGGAAGATCACAAAATCCTTACTGAATCCTGGGGGACTCTGAAGAGCACAAACATTGAAGATCAGAGCTGGATAGATGTAGGATGAGATTCTGTCACATTAGCCAAGCAGCAGAAGCCACAGCTTCAAGTGCACAAGGTCTCTGATCATTTTCCATTGATCAAAGCTAAAACTCATCACCACCACCATGATGTACTAAGATAAAAATACTCAACATTGCTTAGTCACATGGATAGCAGGCTAGAAAGAAAATGCACAATGTCCTAAGAGCTGGAATATAGCTAAGGATACAGAGATCTTGTGTCCACCCTCAGCTGAGCCACGCATTCGAAGGGAGGCAAAATGGAGCCTAAGTAAATATTTTTTACAGCTTAACCATGTGGATACATCTGGACACAGTGGGAAGTGTAAGCTTTAGTTTTGGCATTCTTGCAGAACAGGACTTGTTGTCCTTTCCTATTGTAATGTCTAATTATACAAGTAGATTACTGGCATCTCTGACTATGAAGAGCCCTATATCTAGACGCTGGGTGTAATTTGTGCCTCTTTAGGTAGATTCTAGAAAAATGGAAAACTCAGGCATGTTATATTGAATTTCACTTCACTGACCGCAACATCCTTCCCCTCACATACCCAAGTGAATGAATTCTAGTTATTCTGTTATTTCCTTCGTTTATTCACTTCCATCTATTTACCACCATTAGCAACTTCAATCTAAGCAAGTTAGGTTCTTCTTCTACATTCTCTCCCTTTTCTTTCCAGATACCCTTTTTCTTCTGTTGCTATGTTTACTTAAACTTCCCACCTACAGCTTTCTCTCATTCATCATTAACAAAGGCAATTTGTAAATATTCACAATAATGCCAGTCCCAACCTTGACAGTGGCAGAGTTCCATCCTATATTCCCTTTACTACCACCTAAAAATGTTTTAGGAGGAATTAAATTAATGAAATACTCAGGAGGTAAGAAATTAACATAACTGTATATTTAAAACATAGAACTTTCCTAATATTTTTCTTTAAAAATAATTAAAAAAAATTCACAGTCAGAAATGGGCATGCAACCAGGTTATTATTTAGTTTGTGGGGGTTTATGCCTTGTATATATTTATAGGGTGTCTACTACCAGAATTGAATAGCATAAGGCTACTGATTTTCATCTCTCATTTTCCTTTAAATATTGAGATCTGCATCTTTGGATTCCTACTGCTTTAGCATCCTTGCTTCATATCTCTTAATTACTTAACTCCTCTAACTGCTTTATTAAATTTTTGTGATCTTTGGTTTCAAATGTATTTTTTTAGTTATACCAAAATTTAAAGCACCAAAAAGAAATCCTTTTACAAATGGTTTGGATTATGTTGGCAGTAGAGGTTACTTTTGGGGGACAGGGAAGGAGAATGGCAGGTTAACTACTTAACCTTGCTGCTAGTAAGTCCTTCAGTGCCCAAGACTGTAAAATAAACTATTAAAATTCTATTTCTAGCAGAACTGTTTAATGACCTGATTTTAATCTAATTTAGAAAGTAAAAGATAGAAATAAAGATTTAGCTAATACTCCTGCTCCTTTCCATTGAATGTCCATTTCCAAGCTCCTCAGACTTGTTGACTGCCACTTCTGTACATGTTCCAAAGGATTTCACGAGCCTAAATAATTCAGCAAAGGGGGCAATTTGGACAAAGAACCTAAAACCATACTGCAGCTCCGAATTTAATTGCAGAACACTAGCCCCCCTCAAAAAAGTTTCTTCAATAAATGCCACCAGAATTTCTATACTGTCACTTTTATACAGACAGTAAGAATTTATGACAAAAAATTATTAGGAACACTTTTCAGAATTTAATCTGCATAGTGGATTACCATATTGAGATTTTTTTAATGCGTGAAGTCTTTTCTACATCAGTATACAGCAGAACATCTCCATTTTATTTCTCATAAGCAATTATAAGACTTTCTGTACATGGAGCAAAATATTTCTTTCTGCATATTAGTTTCACTTCTCACATGATAATTTATTCAGTGTTAGTATCCATCATTATGTATTTTATAACTAATTTAATTGTCCTCCACTCTTCTACGACACAAGTAATTTTAGAACTCATATTAGATCTTAGCATACCTAGTGGTACAAAGAGTGTTCCTATTATGTTCTGTCTTGATTACATCCACAGCTTCAGAGCAGTCAAGTCTTTTATCAAGTATTTGCTAAATGACTGTGATATTAAAGGACTTCAATTATGAAAAGTTTATAAAATGTTACCACAACAGTGGATTAGCTATAATCCAAAAGGAAAATATTTGAGTCCAGATTACATGGTTACAATTCTTGTTGCACTACAAACATATAACAGACTAAATCTACTCTTCCATTTTTCCTAATTTAATTTGTTTTTCTTGCTTTTTAAACTTATTTTAAACAAAAGGCATAAATTTAGCAACATCAAGACACCAGGTAAAATTCTCTTCCTCTTGGTACTGGGAATCACATAGCACTGTGAACCATACTCAGGGAACAGTCTAACTGGAAAACTGCAATAATATACAGCTGTCCAGCAATCTGTCTGAGGCCAGATAACATCAGGTTCACAAGGGAAATTAAAACCCAGAGTGTGGCTGTCATTCATAGATGGTTACATTTGAGTCCTACCTGAGAAAAAAGCTTTTTTTGGCAATATTGCTATTATAAATTTATTCACAAGTACTAATTGAATGTTTAATGGACTACCTTGGGAGGATTTTTTGTTTCCAGATGTTCAAATCTTGGGAAAATATCTCTAGGTTGGAACGATGTCTAAGTAGGGAGCTATAGCTTATGAGGAAGATTTGCAGTTTTCCAAAATTATTTTGTATTGATTGCAAGACAACAAAAAGTCTTTTCTGCTCCTTGATTTATTCTCAAAGTCTATTCTTTAAAAAAAAAAAAAAAAAAGAAAAAAAAAATCCTGTTTGAGAATTTTCATTTCTTACAAAAATGTGCATAAGGAAGGATACTAACACAGATACCTATTGCAAAGAGTATGAAAGCTTTTTTAATCAATGGGTATTTTTCAGAAGCTAACTGAAGTAAAATGTTAATGGTCTTTTTAACTGCAGCCACGATTTTTTAAAGGAAGCACTTCTTAATAGCATGGAGTGAGGAAGCAGCTTCAGAATGAACATGTAAAATATTTCAGTGTTTGAGGGGAATTGGGCTTAGTAACTGTCAGATTATAGAATGCGTGAAAAAAACATAAATTCACATTATTTCCTGAAACTTAAAAAATTCAGTCCTACCAATCAAGAATAACTAAATAATTGCAGTAACAGATTACTGTGTTTCTCACCTCTACTCTGGACAGCCCTAACAATGCAGTTGCAACTCGAACACTACTGCTCTGCAGAGTCCCGGTGATCTTTCTTCTTTCATATTCAATAGTTGACATCTGCTGTTGTGCAGCAATGGCCAGAGCCCTCTCTCTTGACTCATTGATCAATGGAATCCTCAGATTTTCTTCAAGAATCTGAGCAAAACCACATTTCAAATATAAAACTGGCTCTACTGCACTCGAACCTGTTAAAAAAAAAAACAAAAAACAAACAGATTTGTCAGCTGCTAGTGTAACTGCATAGAGTATTTACAATCCCTAATCTCCAAAGAAAAGCCAGAAAAATTCCTTTGATGTTTAGTTACATGCTATTACTCTAGTACATGCTATTTACTCCAGTAATACTTTTTTTTTAATCATAATGGGAAAATAAAAATTAACATAGACTGAAATCCAAATCAAAAGTTGCTTTTGCTGGTTAATCAAAAAACCTCAGACTTTAGTGTTACTACTACTATTATGACGGTAATGAAAGTTTAAAAAGTCTTTCTGATACCCTTACAACACAGCCACTCTTTTATCCCTCTAGATGATGTTGCATCCCCTCTAAAAGAAGCCACCAGCAATTATTTCAAATAATAGCTGCACCATTTCTGAAATAGGACTTACAGCAGTTTATCACTGGCTATTGGAAGACAAAAGTATTGGATTGCCTATCAAATCACAACACTGCAGAGAAAACTCATGTGTTTTAAAACCAGAAAAATTTGAGATAAAAATGACTTGTGCTGGTTCATCTGGCTACAAACTATATTCTGAAGTAGAAAAGAGAAATTATGAAAAAATATTTATGTAGACTATGTTGAAAACAATACAAGAAAGTTGAAAAAGACAGCTAACAACCAGCTGCTGCTCTGAAGAGAATGGACAGGACAACATTAAAAAAAGTATCTGATAGTTACACTGTAGTATCTTTCTTACACTTCACTATAAACTGCTTTTATCAGGTGTATTTAATTAATTTTAACAAAAATGCATGGGAAATAAAGAATATTTGCAAAGGAGAATTATTTGCTCTATTTTACTCTTCTTCCTTCTATTCGCTTTACCTTCTAATGTACTGCTAATATGCAGAACATTTGGACTATCCATTGGAAGCAATCCTGAAGGTAAAGGTACATCACCTGTTCCCTCTATCAGGTATACAAATTCTCCAATCTGAAACACAAGAACATACACATCCACACAATTCAGAAAGCAACTCATGCAGAACAGAATGTAAAATATTAAAACTAAAACCAAAGATATCTTAGTAATACTTAAGATTCAACTTGTAAAATAATTTACATATTCAGGAGAGCTATTATTTTAAAGCTATGTTTAAATAAAAGAAAATTATTTCAAACCCTGCTATGATAACAAAGTACCTTTAATTGAGAATATTAAATCTGAAAAGTCAAGACATTTCAACGAGTTGAATCCTTTCTAACTCCTCATATAGTTTAACCGAATGAGGATACCCTGACCCATAAATACAGCAATAAAGTGAATTCTAATTTTGTGTTATAGCCACATATAATTTAAACATATACACAAGTTTACTTCATTGCTCCTCACTATTAAGTACTTTTTTAAAAAATGTTTACAGTCATTTTGAGCCAGTAACATTTCTCTAGAAAGCAAAAAAAGGCAGAAGTCAAAGCAGGTTAGTATCATGTACCAATCCTCCATTAAAAAGAAATAAAGTTAACAAATCTTAATTATTTCATCAAAAATAATGGAAAACCTACAGAATCTTGAAAGTAAACATAAACATGACCTAGAATAAAGGAAGCTAGTGATCTGTCATAGAGGAAAGGATAAATGAGTTAGCAGAAAAATAACACTTTGAATTATAGATGAAACAAAAAAATACAGTACAAATGAAAGACAGAAAAGTGTTTTTAAAAGAAAGAAAACTCACTAAAAGAACTCCGAATTATAAAGGACACAATCAGAACATTCCCAAAACTAAAAGAGATCTAATTAGGTACCTATATATCTATCTGGACTAGGCAGGAGATTTAATAGATATGTTACTTTTGCTTTGATGACATCTTTTTGTTTACCACAAACTTTTTTTGGACAACTTTAGCTTCTACTGATTGCAAGGTAAAGGATCAAATGCTGCTGCAACTGATATAATTTGCACAGGTCACCTCTTTATTTCCATAAACCACATTCTGTAAAACTCTGCCCTAAAAATGCATATTCTGTCTTATATTCTTCATTCCAGGTATGAAGGAAATAATTTATTTATATAATTTAGTGCATCTGCCAACCAATGCAATATTTTCCCTTAAAGGTCAATAACATAAGACAAACCTTTTTATTTTACCTTTATTCATAGTTTTGTCAGCTATTTATGTTAAGGCTGAAAACATCGCAATTATGTTTCTGACCCAGTAGAAGGAAAGCTATTCAACTTTGATGGCATTTTCTCTCCTTCCTTGATTCAAAAGTTCAGACAAATCTTCCTTGAGAAGGATTAAAGAAACCTACGGCAAAATTGGTTTCCCACACACAAACTAATAGCCACTCCTGTGAACCAATTTAAACAAGAATTATTCCTGTTTGACACAGTGTTTTGGCTCCATAAGGACCGTTAACAAGCTTACAGCATATACCACTAATTTCATGAAGGTACTGGTTGCTAGGATGCCATTCTACTATCAATTACTTTTCTTGTCATTGCTGACATCAATATGTTTACAGGAGCAAACTAACTTCCCCATTTCTGTCTTTGCTTTGAAGAATTCTTGCTTTTTGATCTCCACAGAATACAAATCCTGTTTTTTGTCTGCTGAGGTTTTTCCCTGGTGCTTTGGAACAGAATGGTTACTTCACTGTATTTTGAGAGTTAAGCTAGCATCCCCATGGTTTTAATGTTTTATACTTCCATTTTCCATCAGCTGCAAACAGGATAGCATCAACATTTTGTAGGGTGTACTGTTAACAAAAATAGTTAATAAAATGGTTGTTGAACTACCATTAACTATTTATCTAATCCCATTGCTAACTGATATTCCAAAAGAATGTATAGCTACTAGGAATTTGCAGTTCTCCATGCAAGTCAGTAATTAAGAACAACAGATAGTAAAGTGTTCTCTTAATAAACCATTTAATGTTATAGTAGACATTTAGCTGCGAAAGTCTGGACTACCACTTTTAAACTATGACTTAATAAATTATTATCATTGAAATCACAGGTTGTTCACATTTAAATTAGCTCCCAGAAACAAAGATATAGAGAAAAAGCAACCCAGTTATGTTAACCAATATATAATTTCTTCTGTGAAAAGATCTATGCTGAAAATTTGAAGAATGTCAGGTTCAATTTTTCTTAAAAAACAAAGAAACATTGAAACGAATCCTTCAGAAATGTTATAAACAACTTGTGCTGTCATTTCAAACCTTAGAAAAGATAACACACAGATTACTTCAAAACAATTTAAGCAACATACTTGAGTAGGCCAACAAACTTGAATCAGCGTGTCTTCTTGCTTTTATTACAGATACATAGTTGATGCAATTACAGGTAGGATTCCTAGTCAGATTCAAGTCTAACTAGTGATTTGAATCTCAGTACCTTCTTCATTGATTGTAATGAACAAGCAGTCTTGCTCTGATTACCATTTTGTTCCATTTGTCAAAAAGGGGAGTAAAGGTAGGTAGAAAGAAACTACAGAAATGCTAAATTAAATTATTTATTTGATTATATACAGCACAAGTCCATATTTGAATGGTACAAGTCTCATCACTGTATGAAGCCATTTGATCATCATACAGCATGGTAGCTGCAATTGTTTGTCAATTAGATGATGATATGATTGAAATATTGCAGCCATATGCACAATATTTAAGCAAACCAATTTCTTCCTGTGCCATTACTGTACAGCTCCAAAATCATGCTAGCTGTCTTGCAGTTTCACCTTTCCCTAGGAGATTTACCACAATTTCTTACAAATGATACAATTATGTGGATGGGACTTAATTTTTCTAACCTGCGGTGCTACATATCAAAAATTTTGCACTTTCAGCAGCCTTAAAATGCATCCCACCTACTCAGATAAACTGAAAGGAGGGTGTTCAAGAAATAGTTACGATACAGGACATAACAGTGGCTTCTCTGAGGCATTAATGCTTCCTACTATGATAAGGTCAACTAGTTCTTTAAGAACAGTGACTAGTAGCTAGGTGTCTAAATTTAGGTGTTTCTACATCACCTGGAGGCAATACTGGGGCTGTCAGAAATGCTCTTTTCCCTTTCCACCTGAAGTATAACTGTCCCATAGCTCTGAGCACATCTCTTAGATTTGCTTTCCTCCCATTAACATGTCTCCATTTCCCTTCTCTTCATTAAATTATTTAGTTTTCAGGCTCTATACCTAATGTAGTATAAGCCTCCTCTTCTCAGCCAGGGTATATGCTTCTGCTTCTAATAAAGAAATAAACAGGGAGAATGCCAATAGCAGAGGTTTAAAGAAAGAGGATAAAATCATAGCAAGTAAAAGAAGATCCTTCTCAGATCTGCTCCCAGAAACTAGTAGGTTAGGATCTTCCTTGTCTAGAGACTGCATCTAGATATTTCACTGAATAAAACTGATGGACCTAACCTTCATGAGTTTGTCTAATTTTTTTTAACTAGTTAACAGTTTTAGCATCCAAAGTGTCCTATCACAGCTGAGTTACATAAGTTAAACATTGTGTATGAAAAAATACTTCATTTGGTTCAGTTTGTACACTCTGCAACAGTTGCTCTATTAACTTTCTGCAAACTATTCATAATCTTATGTACCTGTCATGTCCGTTAACAATCTCTTTTTTAATTACAGGAAATTAATTTTTTTAAGTATCTGTCTCTATAAAGAAACTGTTACATCCTTCTGGTCATCCCTGTTTTTCTCTCTCTTTTTTCCCTCCATCTCTATTATATTGTTTGCTGGGGTGACTAGAACTGCACACAATATTCAAGATGTGTACACTATAGCTCTTTAGAAAGGTATACTGAGGTTTTACATTTTGATGCCTATTTTTTTCCTAATGATTTCTCTTTCTGAATGATGCTGAGCACTGGATTGTTTTTTCATTGAATCATCCACAAGGATCGCTATCCTCTGACATGGGGACATTTATACAGCATCTTTGTGGGTGATTCCCTGGTGTCAATAAGGCATGAGCTCGCTGTAGGCTTTGACAGACTGTCCCTCTTTTATCTCTCTGCCAATTTTCAAGAAACTCAAGTGAACTGTACACTCTTTAAGACTTCCAGCCATGCAGCTTGTTCTCTTAAAAAACAGCCAGTGGTTTCAAATATGGAACAAGGTCAGATAAACAGGCTTAGGCATCATTGCATTAGTCTTGTTTTCCTTTAAAAGCAAGGAAAAATTAAGTTGGCCAGCTGGCATAGCCAAAGTTGTGGTTAAACAATAAAAATGAACACCAAACATACAAACACTAAACACCAGCAGGAGTCTCTTGTTCTATAGTAATGAAAAATATGACAGCTGAGAAAGTGCAGGAAGAAAATAAGTCATTTAGTTTGGGATGTATTGTTACAAATCATGAAAATGCGGCAGAGAGAATGGCAGATGCATGTCATTGCACAGAGGGAAAGCTGAAACACAGAGGTAGTATTATGAAAGTAAGAAGCAGAATGCAAGCCTTGAGATCAACCACACAAAAAATTAGAAAAACATTGTCAGCTAGAGACAAAACACAGCAGAGAGGTTAGAGGTGAAAAGATGGACTAAAGATATAGAAATAAGAAGATTGTAACCACTGAGATAAATGATTGCAGGGGTATCAAAGAAGCTGGAGTGCAAATTTTAAGCTCTGAAAGTTGGTCAAAACCAGGTCTTGGTAATTTGATGAAATCAATTTCAATTAAGTATATATGGTGAAACCCAGGCTACATGAGTCAAGAAAAACTGAAAGGTAATGGAGTCAGTGTTCATGTACAATCATCTATTCAAAAGTTTTACCTGCATTGGTGACAAGGACTGAATGGAATTTGGATTGGCAGAAAAATTAAAAAGAGACAGAGCAAGGATAATCATCATTATTCTACTTTGACAGCATATCCTTGATACAGTGATAAACACAGGGAGAAGTACAGTACAGTAAAGACTTTATCCTTTCCCTGCCTATGTCTCATCCAAAAGCATTATTCTTGCTCCCACATCAAGACAAATTATAAGTTCCGTATTTGTTTTGAAGCTGAGTTGCCTAGAAGAGCCACCAAAGTAACGTTCCTTGCAGTATTACGTTTATTCGTAATGATTTTACAGTCAAAAGTAACTTGCAGCATTCCATATAATTCTGATTATGTGGAGACAAAAGGGCAGTAAACTTTGGTTTAAATTTCTTAGCTGAAGCCTGTAATCTTATGTAAATCACTGACCAACTTCTTAAGCAACATTTTCCTCCGAGAATTATAGGAATATTGTATTTTAATAAAAAAATGAAAGAGAAAATATTTTCATTTCCAAAAGTTATCACATACATCACATCTTTATAATTGCATATGCGTGCAAAAACATTACCTTAAAATATGTACATAACCAATTTGTATATTCGTTTACCCTTTTCACACATAATTGGCAAACATATCCCGATTCTTAACTGACTAGGCTATCACATGAAAACCACTCACAGAACATACTTTCTATTCTTACCAGTTCATTAACCAGAATGACAGTGCAGTAACGTTTTTCCAGATTAAAAGGAAGAAAGTGAATGTCTAAGCCTGCAGAACTTCTCCCTTCCAAGAACAGTTTTTCCATTGGACTGAAGAACTCATGCAGGAGGCTGGACTGGTCAGCTGTTAAAATAAGTTTAAATGGTTGTTCAGACACAGCAGCATGGGTTGTAAAATAATGTAACTGCCTGCATTTAAATATAAGGATATTGTATACAGCCTCCTGTAGTAATCAGTGTTTAAGGCACACTTGCAAGCAGTAATCAGTACTTACAGTTACACTTGTGAAAATGTGCTGCAGTATTGCATGCTGTATTATTTAAATACATTTTGTTAACGACTTGTGTTTTTATTCTGTTCACTGAAACAAAACTGAGGAAAACAGACAATTCTCTCCATCAAAAAAATTCCTTAAGGATGCACAGCCTATAAGCAAATGACTCCTCTTGCCAGAAAGAAGAGTACAGTTTACTACTATTTAAACAAACAATCTTGCTTTCAGTGGCAGTAACTATGTCATGTTATAGTCTGAAATCCTCCAGAATGGACAAAAACCAAATGCAGGAAAGCTTGTTTTCTTTGCGATGCTTTCACAAAATCATTATGCTGACAAAGTGCTTTCTTCGTAAGACACTAAGAATCTTAAGGCTGAATCTAGCAGGGTCTGACTACTTTCTCACTGCATGTTTTTCATCTGCTGAGCATATTTTGATAGTGCAGAATACTTTAAAACTGGACTTTCATTCAACCTTGGCTGGTTAACCTTCTAGGAAGTTCAACAGACTTAAGAATAGAACCAAAAGTGCAGGCAAAAGAAATGAGTGACTATCACATAAAAAACCTATGTCAAATTCTGGCCAATTAAATAAAACTGATTCACCCCCCAAAAACACCAAGAATCAAGCTGAAGAAAGGCCTAACCACAACCTGCCTTTTCTCTCCATAGTCCACATTCTTTTCCAATCAATATAGGAATTTCCCAATATTCACGCTTCAACCAACAGTTAAGTTTGATATGAATTTCATGTTTTCAAAGCCTACACAAACAATGACCAAAAAAACAAAAAAAAAAAAAACACACCAAAAACACCAACAGGACCCAAGTCCCATTTTTACCCTTCCATCAAATAGGGTAAGGCAGCCCTAACAGGAACTAATTTTTGACTAAATAAGACACTAACTCCCAAACTTATCTCCTGTTCAAGTGTTCCCCATTCAAAGTATGTCAAACTGTGAAGCAGACTAAATTAATCTTGTGAGAGCCCTCCCTCCTCACTTTCTCCCTCTGGACTCTGTGAAATTAGAACAATTGCCAAAGAAGTAACATTAATTAAAAATTTAGATTTTTTTTTGACAGTTTTCTTCCTTTTTATTATGGCTGGGTCAAAAAAAAAAAAAAAAAAAAAAAAAATCCTATTACTCTCCACTTACGACTCTTGACCCTTAATAGTACATATTCTCTCTGGTCAGGGTGTAAAACGTGCAGAACACTCTTATTTAGGTTTTGTTCACCATGTTATAGAAAAAATGACAGGAGTGATGAATTATTCCCAAAGCAGAAGTTCACTTCTACAAGAAATGACAACTTTTTTTTTTTTTACAAAGACCTGAAATACCATCAAAAATGTCTCTGTAGCTCCAGTCTGATTGAAGCCATAAAAACTTTCACAAGCCATTCACAGATTGGTGCAATAGTTGTACCTCACTTTGTTACTTAAGGTTCATACTTTTTATTTTTATGAACTGTGTATTAGTTGGTTGTTAATCGCATCTCAGAATACAATACAAAATAATAAATATATCTAGAAGGGCTAGATTATTCAGATTAAAAATCTGCTTTCCATATGACTTAATGGAAACACAACAATATTTTCCAAGAGGACAAAATTAATTTAATAAGGCCATTGTACAAATTTTCCTCAAGTGGACTTTCAACAGTCTCAGAAAAGGCTGTAGTTCTAGATTCATACATTTTGACATAACTGTTGACTGACATTTCATAGGAAATAAGAGCAAGAAATGCACAATCCCTGTTGATGAGTATTTTCAAAAATAAATTAGGCAAACTGCAAAGGCTCCACATCAGAATTCCATGATGCCAACCCATGGGCCCTTAAAAGAAGAAAAATAGATTTCTTTTTTTTTTGTTAATGGTAAAGTCACTAGGACTACAGTGCAACTTTAGAGATCATTTCACTAAATTAAATATATCAGAAGACAAACTATCCTATAAATAAGAGTTACTGAACATATAAATAATAATTACTTTAGATGTCAAAATCTTTCTCATGTAGATACTCTAATTTTGACTGTAGTGACACAAGAGGTATTATACAGAGGTACTTACAGCAATTTAAGCTGTTCTCTTCATTTGAATCTTCAGGCAGTGCACCCTTTTTACAATTTAATATATTATTTTCAGAACTACAAGGAAAAAATAAAAACAGAAGTAATACACTAAAGCTTGACATTTCTGTTAGTAATAGATAGCTTATTTTCCCTTTTTATGAATAAATACTGGAAAAACAAATGGTTAAAAAAAAAAAAACAAAAACAAAAAAAACCCACACATCACATTTTGGAACCCTCTACCTACCAATAACATTAAATACAACCTCCTCCACTTAAGTTAGTAGTCATATTTCCACCAGAGTCAGAACATGCTCCCTTCAATTAACCTGTATATCATCTCCGCAGTACTCATATAAGCAAAATTCCATGTTAAAAAGAAAAAAATGCAATTATATTTTGCCAGTCAAAAGTACTCCTGCCCAATAACACTTTTTTGTGTAATTCAGTCCCAATTCTTCTCTTTATCATTTCAATATTCTGTGAGGCAAGGCAAAGAAGAATTGTTCCCTGGTACATAATGAAGAGGCAAGGCCTTGCATTCCTCTGATGCTCTCACTTGTCTTCCTTTCAGTCTTTCCAATTTTAGAAATATATCTAAATGCCTGCAAACCAAATTCCATTCAGATGCATTGTGCTCACTCTAGAAGTTACATTCATAGACCTTGTGGACATGTCTTTAGACTGCTGCTTCTCACTGAAACTGATTTGCAAAAGTAACAGTCTTTCCTTGCCCCTTATCAGAACACACTTCAGATACCAGATCTCCTCTTACCTAAACTTTTTTTTTAAGCCCCAGTTTTTTTCTCTAGCTCTCTCTACCTTCTTTCTAGCTCAACAGTCTCCTCTTTTTAAAGAAGAGGTCATCATTCTGCTTTATTCATGATAACTCAATTGCCTTTTCCAGGTACCATGAACTCCTGAGAGCTAACTGAATCTATTAACTTTTACCTGCCTACCTAGGGGCCAAAATACCTTTAACACAACATTAACATTTAGAAACAGTAAAAATAAGACATTTAAACTTAGATTTTTAACATTAATTTTAATTCTTGGTATATTTTTGTATGTTATAGAATACTAGATTTTTTAGGGGGCGATATATACTTTTAGGCAAATATTTTATGTTTATGAGCTTAATTAGATAACATATCAGCAGCTCATATATGTCAAAAAAAAAAAAAAAGGAATTATCTAGTAAACAAAGGTTCTAGCCTATGGCTTTGGAAAGTCTGTTTATGTCCCAAGCACTTTACTGGAAACCTTGAATATACTACTAGTCATTATGCTAGAGTCAGAATTCATGGTTTAAACTCTACTCTACTCTAAATTTTAGCTCTGTTTCTAATACCATCTGGAAAGCAACTCTGTCCAGTGAAGGGGAAATTCAAATTGTAACTGCTCAGCAATGGTAATTCAGGATCAAGGAACAATCTGGCATGGAGGGCAAGAAGGCCCAACTGGCTGGAAGCAGGAATGCCAAAGACAGAACAACTCCCTGCAAGTGAGCAAAGTTTCCTTTGCTGAAGAGATAAGAAATGACACAGCAGCATCTTGTAGCAATGGATTGTTGGAATGCAAGTGCTCAGGAGGCACTTTTGGTAGACAGAGTTGGTGCTGGGGGATGAACCAAACAGCGGGTTAAGGTGCCTGATGCTGATGTTCACAGGATTGCTGCTGGTGCAAGTGTATACAAGGAATCGGCTCGTGTCACATCTTTGTGGACTCCTTGTAGAAGCTTATGGCGATAGGTCTCTGCCCAACGTGTTTGCTCATTAAATCTTTACATTTAAGCACAAATGTGTGTTTAATTTGACTCAAGGGATACAATAAAAATTCCCCAACACCAGTTCAACAGATGTCAAATAAAGCTAACAAATCCCTTTTTTTTGTTTCCTTGCTTAGGCCTGGAGAAATACAGGAAACCCAGCTCCTGTGTAGTGCTCCACTGATTTAAACAGAAGTCTGTGTTTATGTGGGGGCAACACTACCAAATACTAAAGAAGGTGCAGGCCTTAATTGCTTTCATTTCCTGAAATACAACACTGTTGAAATGTTATCTCATTTTAGTTTTTCCAATTAAAATGTTACTGGTTTTATTTCTGTTGTTGTTGTTGTTGTTATTTATTGTTCAGTGCAACTGCAGATTTCTGGCCTCAGAGACATTAGTATTTCACCATTTAAATTAGAAAATTTTAGTTGTGGGGAATATTATCTTAAATGTAACATATTGTGATTGTAATTAATTATTCCTCTTTTCCCTTCTTTGTCCACTTAATAAATTGTATTTTTACAAATAAAGAAGTAGTAAACTCTGGATCTTGCCTGGAAATGCACGGAAGCTTATCACTTGGAAGTTTGCTTTTTCAATAGTAAAGGAAATCAGAGGCTCATTGCTTTATAAAGTCCTATGTTTAACCCCTCCTAAGCAGTAAAGTCAACAGAGCACTAATAAGAGATATTTTTTTACCTTATTTTTTATATTTCATTTACATATATTCTTAAATGTGGATACTTTAGTTACTGCATAGAATATTAACAATTATGAAGACCACATTTTATAATCTTCAAGTCAACCATTTGAATAATTCCTGTGTAGTGCAACATAGCATTAGCTTTAAAAGATGTCTTATAATTTCTATTTGGAATGTAAAACAGTAATGTTTTGGGGTTTGTACTACTACACCTCAACAGTAAAAATGTCTCTAAATAATTTGGAAAAGCTTATCACTAAATGCAACTTTCTAATTTAAGTATTTGAAATAAATACTTCTATTTTTCAAGACACACTTTTTCACTTCAAGTCACATGCATTTCAGTAAAGTCTTTAAGGTACTTAAATAATCTCACTTGCACCAGGATTTTAAATGACGACGTATACACTAGGCCATACAGTGGATTGATTTGGCATCCTTCTCCCTGCTATTCATATTTATAACTCACAAGGGACAGATAAATGTTTTAATTTATAATTTATTATAAATACATAACAAATTCAAAGACAGCTTCCTGCATGTTTTCTCTATAGATTTTTATTTAAAAATCTAATTTTGTAAATTCAATCTTAAAAATAACATGCAAGGTCATATTTATTTGTTTATTCATTTATTTCTCTAGTTTTTCAGATAGCCAGATTGTAATAGTAAAAAACGCATCACAACACATCTTATTATAAAACTGGCGTGACTTTATACAAGGTTACCTAACCTAACCAAGCCCCAGGACAGAAATACATTGAAGAAATTTAATAGGAAATCTACTTCTTTTGTTATTTAAGGCAAGATATCCCTTTTTTAACGAATGAAATCAGTAAAGCTAAGTAAAACAAGGATTTTACACTAACCCTAATAAATGTTGAGTGATCCAAATTCAATCCAGTAAATGCAAGATCCAGATTTAAACCATCAGCAAAAAAATCCCATTGGAATCCCACAATTCTGTATACCAGGGATTCACAAACTGCAACAAATCAATAGTACGCAAATTATTTAAAACTTGTGAGCCATGATTTTTTTCTTACAGGAAACGGAGCACAATTATTTAAGAAAAAGTGCAACATAGACAGTGGAACATTTGCATATTTCATGGCTAAAAATAGGGGGTTGATGTTGCCACTATCTCTACCTCGTGTAACTCATTTCTCTTACGTACAGCGCTGATTTCCAAACAGACTGAATTTGGCATCTTACATTTGCCATTCTCAAAATCTTTGTCTTTTTAATATTGGAGTAGAAATGAATTACCAAAAATAGGTTTTCTCTAAAATACTCCTTAGGTTTTTCTCTTTTTTTTTTTTCCTTCACAAGAATTATTATACAAGAAAAAAACACTTGAAATTTGCTTTTATGCACATGGTTTACAATGTTTCTGCTCACAGAATAAATATAAACTGGGACATAATTTTCCATGATTTTCTGTGCGAAGGCTAATTTTACTCTTGGCTCTTTGAGTAAGTATTGGGAATTTATACCACATAATGAGGAACTAGAGATGTAAAATCCCCGTGTTAATATATAGTTCATGATCTTGCTAGGATACATCAACTGTCATAAGAGAAGCCTTTCAAGCCATTTCTAGTAAAAATAATTCTCTTCTTGTTTTAGTTAATTTAGTTCACATGCAACGTTCATTTCCGCAAGGTTATAGCCCTGAAAAGAGGAACAGCAAAGCTTGTGCCTCTGTACCTTTTTTTTTTACACCAAGGCTACAGGAATGATCTATATTCACTAACAGTGCAGTTAATCATTCACAAGGAACCCAATGCAATCAAGGGTTTGTCTGAGAAAGGAGTGAAGGGGATGAGCCTTAACCTAAACACCTTAACTTGGTTCATGACAACATTGCTTTTCAAGTGTGTTTCAAAAGAACAGATAATACTTGAAAAAACAACTTACAACAAAATCTTTGCTTATTCTTATCCCCACAAAGCAAATTGTGCTTCTTACCATCATTTTTCCTCGATATTACTCTAAAGTTTTTTCTGTCCTTCTTCACAAATAATTTCTACCAGTGTTGACAGGAGTTAAGACTGTGCAGTTACATTTATGGAAGGAGAGTTTTGTTTAATTTACAACAAGCACAGAGCTCATAGATGCTGAAAACTATACTGTAATGTATCTCAAGAAATACTGCAAGTAGAGTTTCAGCTCTAGACTCAGGTTTAATATTTTCCACACATAAAAGTCATTCTCCCCTAGCAGTAAAATTTGATGAACCAGCTTATAGCAAACAATTATTACATACAGCATTTGATAGCTGTTGGGTCTCTCTTAAAATAAATAGTTAATCTTGCTGGGCTAAGAAAAAAAATCACAACCTTAAATAAATGGACTTGTAAAATTCTCAGAATACGATACCCTGGAGATTCATTTTAATACCTATACTTAAAGGCCATTTTTCAGAAAGGAAAATGATCTCTGAGGTATGCAAGTACAACATACTATTTATTCTGTACTTACAAATAAGTATCTCACATAAAAATACAAAAATACAAATTTTATATAAAATGTCATCTCTTTCAATGCTTTATCTTTGAATAAGAACGCCAAGTCATGATTGCAAAAACAGAGACTACA